TTGACAGGTATATCCAATCTCTTATTTACAAATACATCCTGAGGGAGAAATCTTAATCTCTGAGGCTTAAATGGACATAAATGTTATCGAAGAATAAAATCAAATTTGCACCAAGTATAAACATCACATTATCACTGTTGCCAAGACGAATTCACGGAACGAAATCATATTTTCAAAACATAAAACCCAAAAAAATCATTAAACCGTCAATGAACATCACCGCAAAGGGAAATCCCAAATAAATAATCAAACGGAGATTAGACCCGAAGCCGAATAGAAGCATCAAAGTGTGAAATTAAGAAATGAAATCCGTAATTAGGTCGAAGGAACGAGAATCAGGACAGGTTGGCAGCACTGTTAAAATGGCGGCAATTCTTATGGCTTTCACTGACGCCGAATCCCGCCGCATCTCGGTTATTGTGACCGTGTATGGCGGTGTCTTGCGTGTGTGTGTGCGTGTGTGTGTGTGTGTGTGTGTGTGTGTGTGTGTGTGTGTGTGTGTGTGTGTGTGTGTGTGTGTGTGTGTGTGTGTGTGTGTGTGTGTGTGTGAGTGTGTGTGTGTGTGTGTGTGTGTGTGTGTGTGTGTGTGTGTGTGTGTGTGTGAGTGTGTGTGTGTGTGTGTGTGTGTGCGTGTGTGTGTGTGTGTCCTTCTGGCTTTTGTAACCTGGCCTTCCTTTTTGCCTTCCGTTTCTCCTGTTCTTTCTTATCTCCCTGTTTCTGTCTAGTTCTCATCTGCTTTTCCTTTTCCTCCCCTGCTTCGCCTTTCCTACTTCTTGTCTACGTCATTTAATATTTACTCTTTGCCTTCGATTCCCATTCTGAATTATCAGTTCTTCCTCTTTTCACTCGATTTTTATTTCCCCCTTTCTTTAAATTCACATTTTTCCTTTCCCTCCTGCCGACTGCCAGTAATTTTTCGATCTATCATTTTATTGTTAAACTTATCATGAATTCCGTCAATTTTCTTATTATAATCATTACTATCAATATTAATAATCATCGTTATTATTATTATTATTACTATTATTATTATTATTATTATTATTATTATTATTATTATTATTACTATTACTACTACTATCATCATAATTATTACTTGTAGATCATCATCATCTTCATCCTTATCAACTTCATTATCATTTTTATCATTATTCCGCCTGGACTGGAAGCAAAACAGACACAAGAGGAATGAAGAACTATGAAATTTATATTGACATAAACAAAGATAAAAAATAAGGAAAAATATTTCATAAATTATTTAAGCAAATCCACCCAGACGGGATTTTCCGCGCTGAGGAATCTGAACCTCTTTACGCTCTGCCTAATCTAGTAACTCCCTCTCTTCTCCCTTATTCTCTCCCTCGTCTCCCTTATTCCCTCCGTCTTCTTCCTTATTCCCTCCCTCTTCTCCCTTATTTCCTCCCCCTTCTCCCTTATTCTCTCCCTCGTCTCCCTTATTCCCTCCGTCTTCTTCCTTATTCCCTCCGTCTTCTTCCTTATTCCCTTCGTCTTCTTCCTTATTCCCTTCGTCTTCTTCCTTATTCCCTTCGTCTTCTCCCTTATTCCCTTCGTTTTCTCCCTTATTCCCTTCGTCTTCTCCCTTCTTCCCTCATTCTCCTCCCTTATTCCCTCCGCCTTCTCCCTTATTCCCTCCGTCTTCTCCCTTATTCCCTCCGTCTTCTCTTTTATTCCCTTCCTCTTCTCTTTTATTCCCTTCCTCTTCTCCCTTATTCCCTTCCTCTTCTCCCTTATTCCCTCCGTCTTCTCCTTTATTCCCTCCGTCTTCTCCCTTATTCCCTCTGTCTTCTCCCTTATTCCCTCCGTCTTCTCCCTTATTCCCTCCGTCTTCTTCCTTATTCCCTCCGTCTTCTCCCTTATTCCCGTCTTCTTCCTTATTCCCTCTGTCTTCTCCCTTATTCCCTCCGTCTTCTTCCTTATTCCCTCCGTCTTCTCCCTTATTCCCTCCGTCTTCTCCCTTATTCCCTCCGTCTTCTCCCTTATTCCCTCCGTCTTCTTCCTTATTCCCTCCGTCTTCTCCCTTATTCCCTTCCTCTTCTCCCTTATTCCCTTCGTCTTCTCCCTTATTCCCTCCGTCTTCTCCCTTATTCCCTCCCTCTTCTCTTTTATTCCCTTCGTCTTCTCCCTTATTCCCTCCCTCTTCTCCCTTATTCCCTCCCTCTTCTCCCTTATTCCCTTCCTCTTCTCCCTTATTCCCTTCCTCGTCTCCCTTATTCCCTCCGTCTTCTCCCTTATTCCCTTCCTCTTCTCCCTTATTCCCTTCCTCGTCTCCCTTATTCCCTCCCTCTTCTCCCTTATTCCCTTCCTCGTCTCCCTTATTCCCTTCCTCTTCTCCCTTATTCCCTCCCTCGTCTCCCTTATTCCCTTCCTCTTCTCCCTTATTCCCTCCGTCTTCTCTCTTATTCCCTCCCTCGTCTCCCTAATTCACTCCGTCTTCTCCCTTATTCCCTCCCTCTTCTCCCTTATTCCCTTCCTCTTCTCCCTTATTCCCTCCCTCTTCTCTCTTATTCATTTCTTC